CAATATGCCACGGAAAAGCAAATGACCACACATCACGGAAAAGCATTTTCTTTTCAGCTTATATTACACATATTTACCTTTACATGAACTCCAGTGACAGCTTAAGCATAAATAAAATTAGTAAGTGTAAGTAAAAATCTGTCAGAAGTGCTCACAGAGTCCACAGTAAAAGCAAGCTTGCGAATGAAAGAACGCACTTCTCTAGCATAAAAGAAAAGAATCTCATACTTCCCCCCCCACTTTCGCTCTGAGTACTCACACTCAGAAATAGCCACAGAATAAAATCTTCAGAATAAAGATGTATTTATGGCACTAAGTACACCTGACAGAAAAAAAAAGTATTCTTCACAAGAATAAAAATAACTTCATGACATTCACATCAACATTTACACCTTTTTGTTGTATATTATCTTAGCACACTCCCACAGATACTTGTCCCTGGAGTCCATTGACAAGGTTTCATGCTATTCATAGGCATTAAATCAGGCTATTCATTCTTTACAAACAAGAGATAAGTTTCTCAGAAACATCTAGAGCAAAGACTTTCTGTGATTCACTCAGTCAAACTCATACTGCAGAAACAATTAGCTACGTGGGCATTTAGACTGATGACAGGGAACTGACATGCAAATCAATGAGACAATGATTTGTGGAATTTTCAGCCAATTATTGTGCTATTTTATGAGCATTTACTTTTTAATGTGCTGATAGTGGACCCTCTGACTTATCAATAATGTTTGTGTTACATCTGTTCATGAAAATCTCACAATTTTGCCCTCGACATAGTTGTATTTTGCTGGTATCTTATGGGAAGGGAGTTCCTTATGAATGTGGTGAGTTGATGGTAGATGAGAACATCTAACACAGAGCATAGAAAAAAAAGTATTAGCTAGAGTTGGCCTATTCTCCTTGGACACTCATATATGTCAATTTAGTTGAGCACTGTGATACTTTATTACAGTCCTGTTTGGAATACTTCAATACTGTCACATAATTAATCAAGATTTATAAAATACACATGCCCAATTAATCTGCTACTAGGGAGGAAGGACAGCCATGCAATTTGACTTCAGCAGTCATAAGCTTAAGAGTCCAATTCTCATTTCTGAGACACCTCACAGATGACACTAAAGAAGTTAGTTAAGGCTCATTCTACTTAACCTCTGAAGAAGCCTGATTAGTACTGCTCTGATTTTAAACAATGGTACATGTACTTCATACTTATTTATTTAAAAAAAATAATCTAACTAAAACCAAATATCTAGTAACATCAGATATACTCCATTTATATATTTTTTTTTATTTATTCCTTTCCAAGATCTGCAAATTTCCTTATGCTGCAGCAGCCTCGTGGGCTTTATTTTGCATGATAACAGTAAATGTGTCACAGATTACACTTGAGCATGTCATCTATCTTTAGACTGTGTCCAGTAATACCTTCACAACTCATCACTAGTAAAATTATGAAACTGTAATTCATGGCATTGCTTAGAAATATAATTTCTATAGAAAACTAAAAACACATGCAGAAGTACTAAGTCACAACCCTGAAACCATATGTAAGGCTGACAGTTAAAAAAATAACAGAAACCTCTCACAACTAGCTTCTGATCTGGGTCTGCCCTTTACCATTATAGAGTAAAAGCAATCTTGAATAAATTCTAAACAAGTTGTATCTAAAAGTTCCCAAATTCAGAAGACCAAATTATAATTGTTAATATAAATAATCTAGATTTCTCTTTATTMATTTATTATTTAAGTTTAATGAGTTTATGATTAATATCCTAATAAAGAGTATTTTACAGCTCCAAATCATCATGTCATTTGTCATAGCCATCTAAAATCAGTATTATCTCTATACTGAAGTGCATAACAAAGTCTCACTAAGTTTTAAATATTTGCAATACTTGCAAAGTAATTGTCCCTCACCAAGGACAGAGTACTTAACATATTGTACATTCCTGTAACTTAGCAAACAGACTAACTACATGGTCCTAAAGTGTTCTTGGGAGCTAGTGGGATTGCCATCAAGTCTCAAGCACAAAGGATTTTATAATWTCAAAGCTGCATGAAAGGAATAACAGATTTTTAATGAGTATTACCATTGTCTTCATTTTAATAAYATTAACAAAGACAATTTATTGGAGCATTAACTAAAAAATATGGTCTGGGAATACCCTTCTTGGTATAAGATGAATTGTTTAAGTTAAGATTTGATTTTTTAGAGCTGTTCTACCATTTATATATGTAGCAAAATCTTCACAACATGGCATACTTGTATGCATTGTTGAGATCACCTTGGCACAAAGTATGTTATAGTCACTAAAAATATTTTTTAGAAAATTATCTGATAATTCAAAGACTGAAGATTTTTATTTGAGAACAATCTCATACAATATGTATATCTTCCTGTAAATGCCAAAAATTATTCCACATATATCAAAGGATTCTAATACTTTCTGAATTATTGTTTCAGGAAAAACCCTTTTCACCTATCTCAGTCACTCTTCACAAGATCCTCCACCGAGATGTTTTTTGAAAGCCATCTTTGTCAAAAGCAGCATTTTCACAGTTGTAGGGCACTATACTAAAAYATGTATCTTAGGGAAAAAGAAATTGCAGTTTAAAATCACACTGAGCATCCAAGGCCGCTCCACTGATAGAACTGCGTGTAGTGCATTCAAAGGGGTATCCTTTTTTTGTTTTAACTCTTCAAAACATCACCCCAAGTCCCACCAGCATGCCTTATGAGCTTTTCACCCGTGGTATCCTGTGGTTAATTTCATGTGCACACCACCCAGTTGGCCCATATGCATGTGCTGGAATCACGGAATCACAGAATGTTAAGGAGTTGGAATAGACCTTGCAGATCATCTACTCTCAACCCTCCCTGCTATGGGCAGGGACATCTCCCACTAAACYAGGCTGCTCAAGGACAACCAGCCTGGCCTTGAGCACTGTGAGGGATGGGGCATCCAGAACTYCCTTGGGTGACCTGTTCCAGTTTCTTACCACCCTCAGAGTAAGAAATTTCTTCCTAATATCTAACCCAAAGTTTCTCCCTTTCAGTTTGAACCCATTCCCCTTTGCCTGTCACTACAGTTCCTGATGAACAGTCTGTCTCCAGTTTCCCTGTAGGCCCTCTTCAATACTGGAAGGTTGCTATGAGGTCTCCACACAACTTTCTTCTTCAAGCTGAATAGCCCCAACTTTCTCAGCCTGTCTTTGTAAGGGAGGTAGTCTGGCCCTGGAGGACTACTGCCTAACAACATGGGGAATTAACAGTCTTTCTCTTTGGCCTTGACTTCAAATTTTAGAATACCTTTAGTAATAGAATTGCCATAAAACCTTTTTCCTGCTTTCAAACTTGGTTTAAATTATCATGTTCAATTCTAAGCAGCCAAAGACACCGAGAGGCAGAATCACACAGATCTCACTTCCTGAGGAAACTAAGATAAAAAGCAGAGAAGTTATTATCAGGAGGTGGCAGCAGTGAGCAAACGGATGATGATGAATTCTTAAGACACAAATTTTCAGACTTAAAGAAGGGGAAATGCACATAAGCCCAAATAGCGGAGCAAGTAATCCATGTAACTCAGAAAAAAAAAAAAAAAAAAAAAAACAAAAAACAAAACAACCCACGGAATTAATGTAACGGGAACAGACAAGAAAGCTTTCCTTTCACAAAAAAAGGCTCAGAGAGTTTACACTAGGAGTGATGGGGGAGCGCTCTCAGATCCCTTAAGTACATATCAGAAAAAAAAGCCCAAATTCTGAAGATTCCTCTAGTTTTCAAAAGGCCATCATTAGACTCTTATATCACGGTTATTTTATCTAAAGGATTCTTCACTCTGATAGAAAGCATTATCCCATTTTAGTTATTTCAGTTATTCTCCCACATGAAAAATGACCATTTGGAAAATTTTTGAGAGTGGTGGAAGTTTARTTACCTACATTTGTGAAGCAAACTCAGAAGTTAAAATGTCAAATTCTCCCAGCACTTACGGGACATCTGTCTTCCCTAATCTTTAGTTTAAATAAAAGGCCAGCTACATTTTCTGACAGTGCTCTTTAAAAGCATACTCTACTGGAGTTCCTCCACCAGCGCAGATGTCTGCGAGTGTCAGATTGCACGGTACAAAAGATGGCAGTCTGCTGGATCAGAAACAAAGCTGTAAACTTTTTAYTCCCCCCTCCCTCTATCAACCATTTATTTATTATGGTTGCACCGATCTTGCACATAAATCACAAAATGACCTTTTATCACTCAGTTCTCTCTCTATAAGGAGGGGGAATAGCAAGACGCAGACAGCAGAGATGTTGAAGTTTCTGTTTTTCCAGAGATTTTCAATACCAAATAGTACCTATACGGGGAATACCAGGCTGGGCATGGACCTTTTAYGGGGGCATAAGTAGTGATAAGACAAGGGGGAATTATTATTAGAGTAAGTTTAAGTTAGATATCAGGAAGAAGCTTTTCACTGTCASAATGTTTAGGCACAGGCTGCCTGGAGAGACTGTGTATGTCCCATCCCTGGTAGTGCTTAAGGCCARGCTGGATGGAGCAGGCTGGCACGGAACACGGAATGACTCCGGGAATGAGGCCCGCAGGAGCTCCAGCAGCAGCCCAGGGYCCGCCCGGTGCGCAGCTCTCAGGATGCAGCGCAGGCCCGGCCCCATCGCCAGGGCCGCCTTCCTCTGCCCACCTCAAAGCCCTGGGGAGGCCGGAGAGGGCCGGGCCGACRCCTCGGTGCCCCTGTGGCTCGTTCCCCGGCGGGCTCCTCGCCGCCAGCTCCCCGSGGAGGGGGAAAGGGGAGCGAGGAGCCGCGGGTAACCCGCACTAGCGCACCCCCTTTCCGCCACGACCGCCCGCTGCCCGCGACTACCGAGGCGCGACGGGCGASAGGCTGCCGCTCCCTCCCAAAGCCTGGGCAGGTCCCGCCGGAGCCCCGTGTGCGCTCCCCGCTCCCGCCGCTGTCCCGCCCCTCCCCGCCGCTTACCGGGGGCGCAGCGCGCCGCACCATTGGAATTTTCGCGCGCTGTGGCCGCTCCACAGGAGCGCGCCTGCGCAGTGGGGCGGGGCCTGTCCGTGCTGGGCCGCGGCGGCGGCGGGGCAGGCTGTGAGGGGACGGCTGGCACTGGAACAGGGCTGACAGTGCCCACACTGTGTTCAAGAAGCGTTTGGACAATACTGTGAGCCCTATGCTGTAACTCTGCACAGGGTCAGGAACTGAGCTTCCGTGGTCCCTTCCAATCGGGATGCTCTGTTATTCTTTGATTGCGAGTCTGTGATTCAGCCTGCTCGAGCTGCACGCACTTAGCTTCCAGCCTCAAACAGGAGCTGATGAGCCAGAGCTGGCACAGAAGCTTTGTTGATCTCCAGGGACGGTGGACTCCAAGGGTCCCTAGCGACAGGAAACTGAGGCASCTCTGTTGCCTGCACACTGAAAACTGTGGGTGAGGCAGTGAGATCGGTAAAGCCATTCTGACCCTGTGTGTGCGGCTCCACAGGGAAACTCAAGTGATGGGGGCATGACRGCCCCAGTGTGTGTCGTGGGATCGCAGCTGCCATGCACCGAAWGAAGGCAATGGCCAGGCCAAGGTGCCCACAGCCTTTGTCCTGGGCTCTGACCGTGGATGAATCAAACCCTTCAGTTTTACTGCTTCTGGTAGGATACAAAACATGTTTCACTTCTGCTTCTTTTCAGTTTTGTGAACATAACAAGCCCTTGTACCCCTGCAAATAAAACACTCAGTATGAGTACAGACACAGAGTAGATAAGAAATTTTATTTTGAATAAGCTTAGATGAAATTTGTGGTGGTACCAAAATGAGACATAGAGACAGGGTGAACCTTACTGTCCCTAAGTTTGTAACAAAGCATAGGAATAAAACTAGCAAGACCTGCACTTTGACACTGGTCATCAATGCAGTCCTGCTRAAAACACCACCACTACACAACCTGACTACTTGGTGAATTTTTGYGCATCGGTCCCTAGCCCACTTACACAGTCATACTTAATTGTCTTCCTCTCATTCTTCCTCTTCAATTCATCTGCTCATCTTCTCCTGTTCACCATGGTAGTGCTTTCACTCCTGCAAGGTTTTACCTCCAAGTTCACTATTTGCAAAACACAGCTGCACCCCTCTTTTTGAAAAGCCAGCACCATGCAGAATTCTATGTTTCTTTGCATCTTCCTCCTTCCAGATATGCATTTTTATACCACCTTGTCCTTATTTCCTCCTTGAAAAGACTGGATAGTAAGGCGCTCATTGCATTCCACAAGAATAAAAACGCCAAGGGAAAATGTTCTCTGTCTTGAACCTAGGTTCAAATGTTGCTTTTCAGATGCATTTTAAATTAAATTGCAATGACATCATTGGTCTGAATTAACAGGCTAGTGTGTGTTAAATTTGTAKTCAAGGTTTAAAGTCTGCTTGACCAGATGATTACCACACCTGCTGAAGTTAAAGTTGCTGGTTTTCTTTTCATAATTTAACAATATCATCTCATATTCAAACTCCTTACTCCAGCTTTCATATTCTTGCATGCTTTAATTTTTTTTTGAAGGTTGCCTCTTTTCTGATCACCATTGCTTTCRCTTTTCTATAAAATGAGACATCCCCATCAATATAAAAGCAAATTCAACTTACTCATAGAGTGAAATCCACATGCGTTACTTAACTTACTTTTTTGCACTTTATCATATCAAATCAGAAATCACCTGATGAATTAAAGGCTTGTTTGTGAAAGTTTCAAAGTTCTTTCTTGGGAAACAGCAACTGCTCATGAGGTAATCCATCAAGACAAGCTGTCAGAGATGTTTCCCGTACACCAAACACATCTGCAGAGCACAACTTGGAGCTTTGGGTGTAATATCCACATTCACACAGTGAATCCAGTTCATAACTCATGCAAGTCTTTAATCATTCTACTCCTTTTCTGTCAGGGAAAATATGGTAGGATTTGTATTTGTTTTCTACCATCTAAATGTGTTAATGTTTTCTTAAGTGTAAGCATTACTAATTATTTAATTCCTGAAATTTTTTACTGTCCTGAAACACTGGCAGAAGCAGTGGACAAAGTTGGATAGCATCATTTTTCATATTTCTGATTGAACATATTTCACTGCTGTCCAATGTGTATTTTATCCCATAGTCAGAGTAGCAAAAGCTGCTTTTGTTAATCAGCTTGATGTTTACACCATCAACTTAGCCAATTTTCTTGCTGCACAAGCCAATGATACAAAAAGTTCTCATGCACACCTGAACATATGGCCAAAGATCATTGTAATATACCAGGAGCTATGAAAAAGAAACCCAGGAATTAAAACAAACAAACAAACCAAGGCATTTAAGAAAGTCATGGGAAAGGGTGTAATGGACAGAAATGTAAAAAGTAAGGACAAATAAAAAGTAAATAGTAATACTCATAAACTCCAGTATGTGGAAAGAACACATGGTAATATTACCTTCAAAATACCCTCATTTTAAATAGTCACAAAATAAGTGGCATTGGTACTAAAAATGCAATAGGCAGTACAAATCAAATGAATGCCAATACAAATGTTATTTCAGACAGTATGTATGGAGTTTGCCACTACCACATTTAATAAATGTAAAATATTTAGGTTAAAATAATGTTATGGGGACTCTTTCTTTAGCCTTGATCTTTAATAATAGATACTACTACATATAGGGTTAATATATGTATATGTCTCTCTTGTCTTAGAGAATTATTAATAGTAAATCTTTGACACTGCCAAATAATATTTGAAACTGTTAAAAGTCATCAGAAATAGTACTGCTATAGATAATAATTCCATGACTTTAAACCCTGAATATTTAGGAAAGGATGTTCCAAATACCAGAGAATTGCTGGCTGCTCCCTGAGAACCCTGGCAATCTCCTCTTCCCCAAGGTATGTTGCCAAAGCCCCTCATCAGGCTTTGCACTTTGATGAGGCACGGCAAATGATATACTTTGGTTCAGGGCAAAATATCAACAATTCATCTTTTGGCCAGTATTAATTGGGTAGGGAAAAAAGTTCCCTGTTAGGGGAAAAGAAGGAAATACGTCTTTGACAAGTCTGGTGGGGGTRAAGGAAAAACGGGGGGAAAAAAGGGAATAAAAAGTCCCAGCTGTTTGAAGCTGTTAAAAGTTTAGAATGTTAGAATAAATAGTGGAGGAGATACATCGGATGAAATGCAGGTGAGGCACACAAAGGTGCATAGTAAATATAATTATCAATTCTCCTGACTACCACGTACGTAATGTATTTTATGCACATTGCAGTGATCAGCTAAAGAGCACATATTGCTCTAAGCAACTGGAGAGTACCAAGTAAAATTCCCTCAGACCCGCCCCCTAGCTGAAATGAACATGATATATACGTTCGTGTGCTTCTGTGTCCGGCTCAAAATGGTACAAGATARTAAGATCTAAGATAGGCTCTGCATCCATACTATTGTCCTTTACAGATGGAACTGAAACTGCCTGAGCCTTGTAATGTCACTCAGCTAATCTTGGCACAGTCAAGATGTTTATAGTTTGTCTCATTTTGTATCTTCTCAAAATGTTTTTAGAAAAGCTAAAGTATTTAGACTGGTGATTATGTTTCTACCTACAATTAATAAATTTTCTTGTGGAAAATAATCCCGAAAATAAATCCTTTCCCTGTACCTGTCTGCACTCATAGCATGTGCTGTACAAAGAAAGTATGAGTTACATYAATCATTCCAAAGACAATAAAACAATAGAGACCAAAAAAAAGTTAAAATCTTCCATGATGTCCTGCTGCTCTTGTGTAATGGCTGAACACTTGAATACTGGAGAGCATTTCCAAAGCTTGTTCCACAGAATCAAGCACAGCACATAGAAGCAGAGATCTTATCAATTTCTATGGTATTCCCTGTTGATATTCCAAGAAGTTCCTATAGTGTGTACAGAAGTATGAAATACTTGATACAGGATGGAAAGTTAATGACTTTGCCTTGACCTGTTTTCTTACTGACAGCTGTTAACAGTATGAAATTCTCTAGTGAACATTTTAGTCTCATGTGTATGGCTGTATTCCTTCATGCTTTATATAAAATATAGATTTTATATAATATATCTCTCCGTAACTAGGGGAGGTATTTGCACATTCTAGAACCTGTGAGATTTCAGCAAAATTTAAGATAATAAAAAGGGAAATGCTGTTTTACTGGCACCAAACAGGAGCAAAAACAAAAAGTCAGCAAAATGTGAWAAAGATCATGCTTGAAACCATTTTCAGAGGGTTGGAGAGATGGGAAACTGCCTGTTGAGAATTGGTATGCAGCTACAAAACTTCATATTCTTTCATGAATTACATAATAKATCAAACTCATGATAAGTTTTAGCATTAAATCTTACAAATTGAAGTTACAATCCTGAAGTAAATTGGTGAACTCAAAGATACCACACACTGAAAGTCTTCAGCTTTGTCCTTTGCAGACCTGATTATTACAGGTGAGACTTTCAAACTAAGCAATTAAATCTCAATAAATTAATTTTTCTTCACAGTTTAAAAACATGAGGAGTCTGGTCACTGCTTGAAACTGAAATTTCAAACAAGCTCATAACACTGCAAAGTATTGCAAATAAAACAGCTTAAAAGTTCTAATTTCATTAATTACAGAAATTTTAAAATAAAACAAAAAGGAAAATTCACACACACAGAACAGTACTTCAGCTTTTCAAAGCATGATGCACATCATTACCTGAGGTTGCCTTATAACATCCCACTGTAATAGCAATGCAGCAAGATAGTCATTGTCCATGGAATGTAAGACAAATGTAGGAATACAGCTGCMATTTTACCATATGGATTAAATGCTTCTGTTAAAAATTGAAGCACAGTTGCCRAGCTAATATGGTTTTGCTTGAAACTTGAGACTGCTTTTTCTTCTACAATCTTTGCCAAGCCTATGTTTCCATCAACAAAAAGGAACCAAAAAACTAAACAAAGTGTAGACTAAAATGCTATACATCAGATAAGAGTGAAGAAATTACCAATATTTACACAATGAATGAA